ACACACACGCCCTCCCCCGACACACACACGCCCTCCCCCACACACACACGCCCCCTACACTCACATTTCGGCCCAGCCGTGCTCTCCTATGATATCGACGGCTCTGACGTAGTCGCCCGCTGACATGTACATCTCGGCAGCGGCCCGCGGCTCGTTGCTGCTGCGCGCCCACTCAGCCTGCTTCGCCATCAACGCTCTCTTGTCCTGAACGTCGCCGCTCGGGATGAAGTCCTGCAGGAGGAAACAAGGAGGAGGAAGCTCTCACTCTCTATCTCTCTCGCTCGCGCTCTTTCTCTCTCTCTCTCTTGCCCGCTCTCTCTCTCTTTCTCTGTCACACACACACGCACACACGCACACACAAAGACGCACGCAAGCACAGGTCACAAACACAAGCTGATACCACTAATAAACCGACTATGGCTGATGACTGAGGACTTGGTGGTTAAACCAATCAGCCACACCGCAGCCGCCGCCGCGTACCTTGGCCTGGTCGAACATGCGTAGGTCAGAGAACATGGTCATGGCCTTCTGCTCCTGTCCCGATCGCCGGTAGAGCTTCGCTGCCTCGGTGAACTTTCCCTGGTACGAGTAGATGTCAGCGAGGAAGATGTTGTTGTCGATCTCCCCCTTCTTCTTCCGGTCCTGATGAGCACATTATTACATCATTACATGACATCATTACATGACATCATTACATCATTACATCATTAAATGACATCATCACATCATATCATCACATCATTACATCACATCATTACATCATTACATGACATCATCACATCATTACATCATTACATCATCGCATTACATTATCACATTACATCATATCATCACATCAACACATTATCACATCATTACATCATTACATGACATCATCACATGACATCATTACATCATTACATGACATCATCACATCATATCATCACATCATTACATCATTACATGACATCATTACATGACATCATTACATGACATCATTACATCATTACATGACATCATTACATCATTACATGACATCATCACATCATTACATCATTAAATGACATCATCACATCATATCATCATATCATCACATCATTACATCATTACATGACATCATCACATTATCACATCATATCAACACATCATTACATCATTGCATCATTACATCATTGCATCATCGCATTACATTATCACATTACATCACATCCTCACATCACATTACATCATTATATCAATACATCATCAAATTTAAAAATCACATTACATCATACCACATCACATCACATCATTACATTACATCATCATATCACATCATTACATTAAATTATCACATCACACCATCCCATTACATCATAACATCAGTCACATCATCACATCACATCATATTGTATCATCACATTATATGACAAAAGCACACTGCATCATTACATCATTGCATCATATCACATCTCTTCACATCACACAACACTCACCCAGTCGCCATACAAAGCACATGAAATCTAAAGCTATGGCCAACAATCAACGCACCATCGCAATAACATTTGGCTGAACGGACATCTGAATATTATCTCGATCCGATCACGCGTACTATCTTTCAATAGGTGGCGCCAGTTGCTTATACGTCCCTCGTCTAGGTTTTACTGACATTGTTGGCCTTTTACACCAATACACCAGTACACCAGTACACTAGTACAGTTGTAGGTTATTGTACATCAGCTCTTGTAAGCGTTCGTTAGACAACACACTACGTTAACTCGACTGGCACGACTACTGATGACAGACGAAGCTTTCCGTACGCACCTCGATATTGCTGATCAACTCCAGGTATCTGAGATCGCGGATTCTGACGAACGCTTTCTTAGCGTTGTGGAAGTCCAGCCCCTCGAGCGACTCGTGAGCAAGGGCCTCCCAGTCCTTCTCCGTCACTCCCAAACACGCAACTCGGTAGGCGTCGCTGAATCACACCGTGGGTTAAAAGAGAAAGCTGTTCTCTCTGACGTCTTCTCTCTGTGTCTCTCGCTCTCTGCGTCTGTCTCTCTCGCTCTCTCCACTCTCTCTCTCCATCTCTGTCTCTCTCTCTCTCT